CCCAGATCAGGGACCCCTGGAGCACTGAATTTCTATTGTAAACTTAAAATAGAAATTTGTTTTCTGAGGCTCTTTTTGGGGCGGGAAATGTGCCCTCAGACAATACATGCAGTTAGAGTTTAGAACTGTATAGTTTGAAACACACGAGACAGTGAAAGCTGGGAATAACATACTACGGATGCAAAGGTGCATTAAGCAAATGTATTGTATTTCTGGTTGGTCATATGTGAACATTGATGTAGAAGTTGCCACTGTACATACTACCATTGCATCTGGGTGTCTGGACTACCAAAACTTGATTTTTCTTCCTTAAATCTCACTCTTTGTATCCTAAAAATCCTGAGATTATTTTAAGTGCAAATTGTCTGCTAGATTTTATTTTTCAAAAAATTCTTTAGTGCACAATTTCTGATGATGGTAACAACTTTTTTTTTAAACAGCATCTTTTAAGACTGGCCAGTTTTGAAGTCAGAAGTGTGCACTTGTAACCTCACCCAAGTTTCTGCTGATCTCAGCTGCCCAAAACTGAGCCATCTTAATAGTTTAGTGTGGCAATGAAAACTATTGTGACTAGTATGAGCTACAGCTAATAAAACTGACCAGTCAATTAGGTTAACTTAATTTCTGCAACTGAAGTTTAATAAGGGCTTTACAATGCAAGCAAGCTTTGTCCACAGTTTTCTTTGTCAGGTAGAATGGAAACATCTCTGACTCATTTGAGGTTTTCATTTATCACTTGTGCTCTCACTGGTCTAGCAGTCTATTCACACAACATAGAAATGCAAGTGTCTTCAAGTACTGTATTGTATCAACAGTAATTCGTAGATAGTGGAGTTATAACCTTTTTATGGTAACATGAATCCCAAAACCTTCAGACAAGAATTCTGACTGTTTTTAGAAGTCTTAGGAAGTATCTTTGTTTAAAAGTAGTTAGTTCTTGCCTTGAGTACTGTTTATGAAAACAGCATTATTGTTTATCAAACAGCCATTTTGTTTTTACAATGAATAGAAAATTCTCTTGCATTTCCTGTCCTCCACTAAACCATCCCCCAAACCAACAAAAATACCTTTAAGACCATATGCTAAAAATTTCTTTGGGTTTTTTATTCTCCTTTTCGGGGGAGGTGATTATGGTGGACATGTTTTATGTAAATAATTTAAAATTAAATTTTGAATAAATAATAATTTGAAAGTGTAGTATGCATTTGTATACTAGGTAATGGAACGATGTATTTTTTCATATCTCTGCCAAGAAAATAGTACCTTTTCCAGAGCTTGTAACAGGGAAGCTTACATGCTTCCTTTAACCATATGTTAGCCTTCTCTTATTTATTTATTTTTAATGGCCATGTTACTTATAACAAGAGGCCCAGTCCCAATTCTAACCTTACCAATTAACCCTTTAAATCTCTAATGCAAAACATCAGTTAACTCTAACCAGAGTTATATGCGTGCAAGAGCTGGGGAATATTGTGTTGCAGTCCAGTGTGAAACTAACTAGAAACAACATGTGGTGATAGCTAGCAATAAAGGTTACAAAAGAGAAGGGGAAGAGAGGGGGGTGGAGCATAAATATTTATGGATAATTCCTGACCCTCATTTTGACAGGCATTAGCTAGAAAATACTGAATTCAACAGAAGCCTTATTTAATCTATTGTTAACGTCTTCTGATTATTAAAGCATAGAGGAAAGCAATTTAGAACTTCTCACTGTGCTCGTATGTTAATGGGAAGATATCAGTTTTTACCATGATGGTTGCTGCCATTGTAATTAGATTTTTTTTTTCAAAATGTACTTCAGTTTCTACCTAGCAAACTCTCTTCATTTCTTGCCGGTCATTACGTTAGTGAACAATAGTGGTTTCTCTGTAGCTTATGATTGGTGCTGCCAGTTGTGGTAATGTATATGTAAATTACTGAATTAGTGTGCACAATCATTTGAATTAGGTTCTCCCTCCCACCCCAATCTAACCATTGTGCTCTCCAATCTGTTCCACAATGTTTGAAACTTCTGATCCATGCCATAGAAACATTTGTTGACTACAACCCCTGTTCAGTCAACTTGTCTCACTGAGCACATAAATAACTGGCAGCTTGTATTATTATGTGAGGTGCAGCTCTATCCTGTAAAAATATAAAATATTTATAATTAATTTCAAGTAGAGGATGCAAACGGGCATAAAAAGAAACGAGATGTGGGAAGATGGCAACAGGACATTAAGGGTTTGTATTTAAAACAAAAACCTCTTACTTTAACTTTCCATAGCTTATTTTTCTGGAAGAAAGTTCCTGTATCTGATTGTTGTGGGGTTGGATGGATAAGAGTGATAGATTGTTATTACTGTTAGTTGTTAAGACTTGAGTCAAATCTTTACTCAGGCAGATATTTTAAAAATTTAAACCCCACAGGAACTGTTAAATGATCTTCCCTTCTATTCAACTCATACTGTTTATGCTTGTTTACTTGTGGGGCATAACAGCCGTCTTTCTCTGAAAAGTTAGCCCCTGAGCTTACTTTGGCCCTATCATATTTTGCCTGTAGATTTTCCCTTGCTGTGGTGGGGCATAAAAGCC